AAGGGGCCGGGTGTGCCCAAAGCCTGCAGCTCCCGGGCGGGCACCCAGCAGCCTCCCTGCGGCAGGGCACGTGGGCAGACCTGGCCTTGCCGGTCCTGCCGGCCCTGCCCCGCCCCGCCCCGCTCCGCCCCGGGGCAGGTGGGGAGCACGTCCTGGCACGCCAGGCCTCAGACCAGGGCACCTGTCTGCCAGCCCCGCATGGGTCCCAGGACCAGGCAGGAGCCTCCGGCACTGCTGGAGGGAGGATGGAGCTGGGGGCCACGTGGTGCTGATGGGCACTGCCTCCCCAGGTGCCTCGGAGAGGACAGTGCTGCGTTTCGAGGTGCCCGGCATTGCTAACTACACGGCCCTGCTGCTGAGCCCGGATGGAGCCACGCTCTACGTGGGCGCCCGTGAGACCCTCTTCGCCCTCGAGACCCGCCACTTCGTGCCGGGCCCGCAGCACCGCAGCGTAAGCAGCCGGGGTCCCAGGAGGGACAGGCTGGAGTGACCCAGGGGCTGCCTGGCGGGTGAGGGGTGGGCAGGGGAGAGCCGGGGAGGCCTGGCGTGGGCAGGATTCCTGTGCGCGGCGCTCCCAGGGCGGCTCGTGGAGCCCTGCAAGTCGTGGCTTGCTCCAGAGCCGGTCAGAGCAGCGCCGTGGGCTGCTGACAGCTGTGCTCAGCACCGATGGAGCCCGCCCAGCCCCACACCTGGCCAGCCCGCCCCAGGGACCTTGGCGTGGGGGGTCCTCACAGCCCTCTGGCAGCCAGGTGGCAGGGGGGCTCGCCTGCCTGAGACTGGGGCAGGAGCAGGGGAGCCTGGCCCGTGGCAGGGCACGGTCACTGCCTCCCCACATGTAGGGACCACAGCAGGGCCCTGGGGGGTCCCCAGTAACCGTCTGTCCCCCCCACAACAGCTACAGTGGACCGCGGACGAGGAGAAGAAGCGGCAGTGTGCCTTCAAGGGCAAGGACCCCCAGGTGAGCGCTGCACCTCGGCCCTGCTGCTCCACCCATGCCACATCCCTTGGGGTGGAGGGAGCCCGGCTCTCTGTGGTGCCTGAAAACTCTTGCAGTGGGGGTATCTCCAGGTGCAGTGCTGCCCCCCACCCCTGCAGGACCCCCTGCTCCAGCGCCGGGGTCTGTCTTTGGGGGGCTGAGCAGGGGGGCTGGTCCCAGCACCGCGGGGAGCGGGCGGCGTACCGTGGAGGGCACTTCTCAGGCAGTTGCGCTGCCTGTCACAGGTCCCCGTGCCCATGCCACAGCCGGGCAGGGATGGGGGATGGTGTGGGGGGCTGCGGCTGGCCATGGCTGAGCCACCCCCTCATCCCACGGGCCTTGCAGCAGGGGTGGGGGGGCCTGGGGCGAGCTGATGGGCACCTCACCTTGCAGCGGGACTGCCACAACTACATCAAGATGCTGCTGCAGCTGAACAGCACCCACCTGTACACGTGTGGGACCTGCGCCTTCAGCCCCGCCTGCGCCTACGTGGTGAGCACCGTGCCCGCGAGGCTGCCCTGCTGACAGGCTGCCCCCTCCTCGGCCGGGGTGGGGGTGTCTGCGCCTGGGGGCAGCGCTGTGCTGGGGATGCCCCCGCTCTGGCCTGCCCGTGCGCTGGCAGAGTAGGAGTCCCTCGGCTCCCGCCGGCTCAGGGACCCGTCTCCTGCCACAGAACATGCAGAACTTCAGCCTGGAGCAGGAGCCATCAGGGAAGCTACTGCTGGAGGACGGGAAAGGCCGGTGCCCCTTTGATCCTGAGTACAAGTCCACCGCCATCATGGTCGGTAAGGATGGCAGTGCTCCGCGTGTGCCAGCTCCATGTTTCGTGAGTGGGGGGACCTGGCCTTGCAGGCAGTGCCATGCACTCAGGCACACGGCTGTGGTGTGTTGCAACGGCCCCGCACGGCCTGGGCTCCCCGGGAAGGGATCTGCCCTCCTCTCCGGGGCAGCTGGCAGCCCACAGCACTGCGATGGAGCTGGGGGCCGGCAGCTCCGCTCCTGGGTGGCTGCAATTTTGTGGTGAGCTCAGGAGCAGGGAACGGGGCTCCTCCAGGGCTGGTGCCAGACGGGAGTGACTGCCCATGTAGCCACCCAGGTTAGCGCCAGAATCCCCCCAATGCCACCCTTCCTGCCGAGCCCTGGCCTGGGGAGGGGCGAGCTCGCCCTGCCGCGTGCACTCCTGGCTCTGACCCACAGCCATCACTGGAGCCCGTGCAGAAGGGACCAGGACGGGGGGTCGGGGCAGCCCTGTGCTTGCCCCGACGGGTTTGTCTCTCCCCTGCAGACGGCGAGCTGTACGCCGGGACCGTCACCAACTTCCAGGGCAATGAGCCGACCATCTACAGGAGCCAGGAGAGCCGCATCTCCCTCAAGACTGAGAACTCCCTCAACTGGTTGCAAGGTGCGGGGCTGTGGAGGTCGAGGGCAGGAGACATGGGGCACAGCCTGTCCCGGGCAGGAGATCCCCAGAGCTAGGGATGGGGCAGCCTGGTGGGGCCCGCTGTGCCACGTGGAGGTGGTGCTGGGGGCTGACCTGTGCAGGGTGCGGCCTGGGAGGGGGCACTGCGCTCGGGCTGCCGCCCTGTCCTTTCCCCGGGCTCATCCGCTGCCCGGAGGGGAGATCACCCGGGGGAGCTGCTCCGTGCTTTGATGCTCCAGCCCAGACAGCCACCTCGAGGGGCTGGGCATGGTGGTGGGGGGCTCGAGAAGGCACCGCACGTAGCTGAGGGCCCATGTGTGCTGCGCAGACCCTGTCTTCGTGGGCTCAGCCTACCTGCGTGAGAGCCAGCTGCCCGGGGGCCCTGGGGGTGACGATGACAAGGTCTACTTCTTCTTCAGCGAGACGGGCAAGGAGTTCGACTACTTCGCAAACACCATCGTCTCGCGCATCGCCCGCGTGTGCAAGGTGGGGGCGCGTCTGTGCCATCAAGCGTGTCGTCAGCTGCACGTGTGGGAGGAGAGGGTCTGTGCTGGCGCGACATGTCACCTGCGAGTACAGTGGGCTGGGGGCCGTGGTGCTGGTCACTCTTGTGGAGGGCATGGGCGGCTGCGGCCACGTGTGCAAGGGGGAGTGGATGGATTGGGGCCGCGTGAGTGTGTCCCACTGGGCCTGCAGCGCCCCCTGCTGCCTGCAGAGCTCGGTGCCACGAGGAAGTCTATCCAGTGCCGGCCCCCGTGGCACAGCAGCCTCCCCACCCCTGGGAGACCAGGACGCTGCCCCCACGGCCTCTCCAGGCTGCGCGGCCGCAGCGTTGGCTGTCCATGCACGGTTCTGATGCAGCCTCCTGCCCACCCCGTGTCCTCTGCAGCGCGGGTGCCTCTGACTTCCCTCCTGCAGCCTTGGCCATGCTGCCACATCCTGCTGGCAGAACTAATCCTGCCCCGGGGCATCCCATCGGCCCCAGCGCTCTGCCCAGGGGCACCGTGCACTCCAGCAGGGGCTGGGGAAGGGCATGGATGTGCCTGCACTCGGGCTCAGTGGCACTGGCTGCAGAGCTCTGCTCCTATCCTGTCCTGGTGGAGCTGGTTCTGTTCATTTTGGGGCCCCCCCCCAGGTTGCCAGCATCACCTTGACTCTTGCTCGCTTTGGGAAGCGTGCCTGCAGGACCACCCTCTGCGCTTGCTCTCGCACCATCCGTGTGACCTGTGCAGATCCAGGAGCCGTCCTGGTTCGATGCAGGTGGATGCCCTGCTGCCGGGTGCCTTGTTGACCGTGCTGTCTGCTTGCAGGGAGACCTGGGCGGGGAGCGGGTGCTGCAGCGGCGATGGACCACGTTCCTGAAGGCGCAGCTGCTGTGCTCGCGGCCCGAGGACGGCTTCCCCTTCAACGTGCTGCAGGACATGTTCGTGCTCACGCCGCAGGGGCAGGGCTGGGAGAGCACCGTCTTCTATGGCGTCTTCACTTCCCAATGGTGAGCACATGGATCCCAGCACTGGGGGAGACCCAGGGGGCCTTTCCGCTATCGTGGGCTGCGCTGCGGGGACTGACTGGGATACGGGGACTTTCCCGGGTCCCTACAGCTTGTTTCCCAGGCATTGCAGCGCACTGGTTCCAGCCCGTGGCCTGAGCCCTCTCTGGGGCAGAGCGGGGGGTGCGAGGAGCTGGGCCATTAGGTGCCGTGGGGCTGATTCCCCTGCCATGGGGCTCGTTTCTCTCCCTCCAGGAACAAGGGGGGCCCAGGCAGCTCGGCCGTGTGCGCCTTCCCCATGCAGGAGGTGCAGAGAGCCTTCGGCGGCCTCTACAAAGAGGTGAACCGCGAGACGCAGCAGTGGTACACGGACACCGGCCCAGTTCCCGAGCCCCGGCCTGGAGCGGTAAGTGCCTTGGGCCTGTCCCCTCCTGCCAGGGGGTGCCCTCCAGCCTCTGCCAGTCCTGCCACTTCTTCCTACATGATGTCAAAGTGTCTGTGGGAGTCCCTAGGATTTGGGGGACACCACGGGTCTCGGGAGAGGTCTGAGCCGGGCACCAGCCCCCATGCTTCTGCCCTTGCCATGCTGTGCATGGGGGGCACCCTCTGGATGGGATGTGGGGTGGCTGCCTGTTCACAACTGCCCTCTGTGGTGTGCCACGCTGCTCCCACCACCAAGCCATGAGCCCTAGCTCTGCCCCACAGCCGTGGCCGGCAGCACGACAGGGCTAGCGCACCACTCCCCCCGCAGTGCATCAACAGCCGCACGCGGCAGATGAAGATCAACTCATCACTGCAGATGCCAGACCGGGTGTTGAACTTCGTCAAGGACCACTTCCTGATGAACAGCCCCCTCCGCAGCGCTCCCCTGCTGCTGCAGAGCCGCCTGCGCTACCAGCAGCTCAGTGTGGACCACGTGGAGGGCCTCCATGGCACCTACCACGTCCTCTTCCTGGGCACGGGTAGGTCCCACAGCGTGGCTGTAGGCACAGGCGTGGGCACCGAGCTGTCCCCGGGCCCCAGTCAGCACGGCCTCCCTGGTGTCTTGCAGATGACGGGCGACTGCACAAGGCTGTGAGTGTGAGCGGCAAAGTGCACATCATCGAGGAGCTTCGCCTGTTCCCCGCCGGCGAGCCAGTGCTCAAGCTGCTGCTGGACCCCCACCAGGCACGGGCAGGGCATGACGGGAAACTCGCGCTCCTGCTGCGGGGTGGGAAGGGGGAGAGACAGGCCTCTGGTGCTGCCCCCGCACTGCCTCTCTCCCTGGCCCTGCTCCCTGGGGCTGTGCTGGCCCAGGTGGGGCTGTCTGCTAAGGGGTAACATGGGGGCTGAGCCTAGTGCCCCCCCTGCAAGAAGGTTTCCATTAGGGCTGTGCGAAATTTTGCCACCAGTTTTGTTTCAAGGCTGTTTCGACCCGTTTCGAGGTCAAAACAGCAAAATCAAAACAGAACCAATGTAGTCAAAACAGCCTTGAAACAAAACAAGGCAAGTCGAAACGTTTCGCCGTTTCGCCGCTGTTTTGACATTTCACCCATAGGCTATAACGGGGAAGGTTGAAACAGCCTCTAACTTTGTCATTTCTGGACTGATTTAGATTAAACGTGGAGGAATAGTAGCCCCTTCTGAGGGCATGAAGTCTGCCAAGTTTCAAGGAGATAGGTGCAGGGGGTTCAGGGAAACTGTGCCCTAAAATCTTGAAAGCAAAACTTGTGTCACGTGTATGTTAAACCACAGCGGGGTGACAGGTGCAGGGATGGTAGCCCCTGCTGAGGCCATGAAACCTGCTAAGTTTCAAGGAGGTAAGTACAGGGGTTTGGGGGAAACTGCACCTCAAGCTGCGGACAAGCAAAACTTGTGATGTGTGTCACGGGGTGTGTTGAGGCGCAGCGGGGTGACAGCTGCAGGGATGGGGCCCCTGCTGCGGCCACAAAGCCTGCTGGCTGTCAAGGAGATGGGTGCAGGGGGCTCTGGGGCCCTGCACCCCTAGCTGCTGATAGGCAAAGCTCGTGACACGGGTGCTCGTGGGCCTGACTGTCTGTCTTGGGGCAGCAGCAGTTCCCGGCTCTGTATTGATTCTTTCCTCTCCTTAGTCTGTGGTTTGGTAGGTGTTAATCCTTACTCATTAACTCATTAGCCTCGCTAGCTACTGTGTTATGCAATCAATCATGAGTCACTCAGTGACCAGCTTAATACACAGTAGCTAGCTACTAGATAATGAGTTAATGAGCAAGGATTAATGGAACTTGCCCTTTCGCACAGCCCTAGTTTCCATCTTGCCAGGTCTTCTCCAGGGAAACTGCCCACACAGGGGTGGCTTCTCTCGGCAGCCTACTCAGCCCAGCCTGGATCCTCTCCCCCTGGGAGCAGCGGGGGTTGAGCCCCTGCCTGGGGCTCTCAGGGCTGCTGACGGGTGCTGGCATGCGCGACAGGCCGCGGCTGCACCGTGTCGGGTGATGCCCAGCCCGCGCTGCCAGGTGCATCCCCAGCAGGGCTGTGTCTCACCAGGCTTCTCCCGCAGGGCTGGCTGTATGCTGCCTCCTACTCCGCGTTGGCCCAGGTGCCCATCTCCAACTGCAGCCTGTACCGGAGCTGCGGGGAGTGCGTCCTGGCCCGGGACCCCTACTGCGCCTGGAACGGGAGTGCCTGCCGCAGCGTGCCACCGAGCCCCCAGCGGGCGCACGCCCAGTGAGTGCCGCCCTGTCCCCCCCCAGCCCCAGATCTCCCTGCTGCCTCCTTGGATCGTAGACAAGTCAGGCTACCCTGTCTAGTCCAGCTCCTGCTCAAGGGAGGATCATCCCTGACTAAAGCATCGCAGCCAAGCAACTCTCGCAGTCTGGGAACAGCCCCCAGGCGCAGCATGGGAGGTTACACACCCTTTAGCCTGCCCCAGGTCAAGCCAGGGCCCAGGGCCTGCCAGCGCCCTGCTGCTGCAAGGACAGGAAAGAGCTTGTTTAAGATGCGTTCGAGACCCCAGGCAAAGGCCATGCCCCCACTGCAGAGGAAGGCAACACCTCCCAGTCTGGACCAGGGGGGGAACTCATTCCTGAGTTAGGGGGCAAGATGCTGTAGCCAGGACCTTCTAGGTTTGAGTCCCAGCAGGACCATTGGGTGCCCCCAGTGCTGGGGAAGGTGAAAAGCCCCTGACCAGCGAGGAAAATCCCCTCCTGGCCCACGTGGCAGCAAGGCCCAGAAGTCTGGAAACCCCAGGCACCGGCACTCTGCTCTGCAGCCTGGGCACTGGGAGCAAACCTGACTGCAGAGCCAGAGCTGCCCCTCGCCAACCTCCCCATCCTCTCTCCTACCCGGCGGCCCCACTCCGTCCTGCTGCTGTGCAGGGTGCTGTCCGGTGCCCACCCACTCGGGGCTGTGGAGCTCATCTGGCGGTCCTCGGGCCATGCTGTGGGAGGTCTCTGGGGAGCGTGTGGCTTCCACCCATTACCTTTCACAGTGCCCTGCTCCCTGCTCATCCTTGCCCAGTCTCCTCCCGGACCCCTCCAGTGGGGGAAGTCCACAGCTCCCCGCGGTGCCTGTCCCACTGCCTCCCTGCTCTAGCTGCTCTATCAGGAAGGCAGGTCTTCCTGCCATCTAGTCTAAGCCTACGTGGCTGCAACTTCAAGCCATTGCTACATGTCCCACCTCCACAGTGAGGGAGCTTTCTTCCTCTTTCTTATGTCAGTCTAAGTACTTGAAGAGTGCTGTCTTGTCCCCTTCTAATTGCCTGTTCTGCCAGCTGCACATGCCTCGGCCTTCCACCCGCTCCTCACGCAGCTCGCTCTGGCACCTGCCTTGGGTCCCTCTGCAACTTCTCCACGTCCTTTATGAAGTGCAGAGCCCAGAACTGTACTCCAGGTAGGGCCTGACTGGATAGGGCCAAGTGGAGAGGATTTGTTGGGTTTTTTTATTTTTGTATAAAAACACATAAGTTCTCCACAAACACTTCATACGGTACATCAACCGTAAGTATAGAACCGCATCTAAACACAAATTTGCCTCGTATTATACATCATCCCCATCCATATCTATGCATCCAAGTAATAAAGCCCGTCCATATACATACTTTACTACAAACACATATTGCCATACAGACTGCTTTCTCGTTTCTCACGCAGTCCCGTACACAGTTCTCTATAGACCTTGCCCCCTGCCCTCACCCCAACTTTGTCCTTCTCTTACCCAATTCCAGCTGGTGTGAATAGCTGGTTCCAGTTTACGGATTTCCACACGCTAAGCAATTCCTGCTCCTGACTTCGACCTTCATCCTGTCCCATATAGCCCCTTATCTGATAATACCCCAGCTATAGACATTCTCTCATCAAGAAACATAAGCTCTTGGTGACTAGTAGATACCTGACTTCCCACAAACCCACCTTCATCTGCATCAAAACCACTCGCACCTCCCATTCCCTAGTTCCCTCTTCCACCAAACCGTACATAACCTCCTCAAAGGAGACTTCTGCTCCCCATCCCAGCGCCATCAGAAACTTTCTTACCTGTCCCCACACCTTTCTTGCAAAGAAACCTTCCCAGAACACGTGGTGTATCGTTTCCTCCCTGCTGCGTAATTCCCTGGGGCACTGCCGTTCGCACCACCCCCATTACATTGTGTTTCCCTCACCATTAAGACCCTCCTCATCCCTTTGCACGCAAGCTCCCTGTGTTCTGCTCTCCATCTTTTGTCTACTACCCCTTTCCAAGCTGTCCTCACCCTGCCCATGAGAGATCCCCTCTCCTCCAGTGTGTTCACAGTCCTTTCTGGTTGCATGTCACCATCACACTTGTTCAGCCAGTTCTGTGGCATCATCCAAATCATTGATAAACACATCGAACAGCCTCAGGCCCAGGACAGACCCTGTGGGCCCCGCCTCGAGCCCTCCCGCCATCCTGACATGGAGCTATTGATAATTACCCTTGGCGTGTGGCTGAGGCACTTGCCTCTCCACCTGGTAGTAGTTTTATCCAGCCCCCGCTTCTCCAAGTTCTTTATGAGCCGGTTGAGTGGACTTTGTCTGGACGTCAGCAAGGCCTTTGACACACCATCCCGCTGCACTCCCTTTATCCGCCCACCTGGTTCCTTTATCCAAGGAAGAGATCAAGTTTGCTCGGCACAGTCTCTTCTTAGTAAATCCCTGCTGGCTGCTTGCAATCAGCTTTTCCTCCTCCAGAACCTGCAAATGGCCTCCTTAGGACACGCTCCAGGAGCTCCCTGGGTCCTGAAGTCAGGCTGCCTGGTCTGTAACTGCCCAGGTCCCGCTTTGTAGGGCCCGTCCTAGTCCTCGGGGTCCCGGCCTCTGCAGGTCATTGCCATGGGCTCTGCGGTCCCCTCTGCCAGTTCCTGCGGTGCCCTGGGACGAAGTCCATCAGGCCTCTCTCTTGCCGGGCTCTCCTCTCTCCCTGCCTGCACTGTGCTGGCTCCCGCACTTCCCAGTCACCCTGACTCCAGTCTCTCCTTGCAGACACTGGGCCCAGGATATTGAAGGCGCCAACACGGAGGAGCTCTGCCGACTTGGCAATGGGTCCATGCCTGTCCCACGCCGTCTCCTCCCCACAGGTAAGAAGGCCCTGGGGCAGGAGGGGTCCCCTGCCCCACTCCTCATCTGCCGTGGTGTGGGGAGGGGTCCCAGGGCCCCTGTCCTGTCTGCTCCTCTTGGTGCCCCCAAAGGCCTTGCCCAGCAGAGAGCTCCTGGCCCTGCAGCCCCTGCTAGGCACGTGCTCCAGCTTGGGGACTGCGGCCAACCCTGGTGCAGCACAGACCTCGCACCTGAACCTGCCCCAGGGAAAGCAGAGGGGCCAGGGCAGCCGACGTCCTGCTGCTATGAAATGTAGTCAATATGAGATCCAGGTAGAAGGCCATGGCCCCACAGAGGAAAGCAAACGCCTCCCCACAGTCTGTACCAGTCTGACCAGGGTGAAAATCCCTTCCTGCCCCAGTGCAGTGTCGTCCTGAGCCTGAGCGCAGGGGCGAGACCCTCCAGCCAGGACCCTGCGGGGTTGGTCCCAGCAGGAGCATTGCCACAGCCCCATCCCCATCCCGGGCTGCAGCACCCAGCGCCCCCGAGGGAGGCTTAAAGCCCCCTGGCCTGCGGAGCAGAAAGATGGGGGTGGGGGAAACTAGCACAGCCCCGAAGCCTGGGCAATCCCCACAAGTGCCAGGCTGGCCCAGGCGCCCCAGTCCACCCCTGACCGGCCTCTCTCCTGCAGCAGACGCAGCCCCGTGCCAGAGCGTGCAGCTCCCGGCCAACGCGGTGCGGTCCCTGCCCTGCCAGCTGCTGTCTAACTTGGCCTCCCGGCACTGGCTGCACAACGGCACCCGCATCGACGCATCCCACCTGGTGCTGCCGGACGGGGCGCTGGTGCTGGTGGGCAGCCCGGAGCGCGTGGGCACCTACGAGTGCTGGTCGCTGGAGGAAGGCTTCCGCAAGCTCATGGCCAGCTACTGTGTGGAGGTGGAGGCTGCACCCAACGTCCGCCCCCGGCCCCCTGTACCTGTGCCCCCGGCCCACCCAGACGCGGCGGTGCCCCCCCTCATCAGCACGTCGCGCAGCACCTCGGCCGGGGGCAGCGTGGCGGCGCGGCTGGACGACAACAGCTACTGGACAGAGTTCCTGGTCATGTGCGTGCTATTTGGGGCTGCCGTGGTGGTGCTTACCCTCTTCCTGCTGCACCGGCACCGCGACGGCATGAAGGCACTGCTGGAGCCGGGTGAGCGCGGCACCGGCCACACCAAACCCCCACGCAAGGCAGTCGAGAGCCTGCCCCTGAACGGCAGCAACCTGCCCAGTGCTGCCCCTGAGCACAAGGGCTACCAGGCCCTGCATGATAACCACATCGCCAGCACGCCCGTCCACGAGCCCCCGGGTGCCCCGGCCTTCTCTGGCTCCGAGAAGAGGCCCCTGAACCTGTGTGACAGCTTTGTGGAAGTGTCTCCCACCTGCCAGAGGCCCCGGGTGCGCCTGGGCTCCGAGATCCGGGACTCCGTCGTGTGACCGGGGCTGCAGCGGCCTGGACTGACGCTGGCCGCGGCTCCGCAGAGCCTCCCCGGGCAGGGCGGGTGTCGGGGTGCACGTGCATGCCCGGCCATGGAGCAAACGGCTTGCAGCCTCCCCGTGGAGGGGAGATGAGAGGGGTCCCTGCCCCAGGCACAGCGTGTGCTTTGCGGAGGGTGTGGGGGCAGGCGGGAGCGTCCCCAGTGCATGGGGCACTCGCAGGGGCTAGGGACGTCCCGGCGGCGTGGGGCCAGAGCGGGCTCGGGGCTCGCGTGCCCCCTGGCAGGACACTGGAGGGTGCCTCCTCTGCTGTCCGGCGCCAGGCCCTGTGTGGAGCAGGCCAGGCGTGGGTGGGCTGGCCTGGGGCTGGGACACCTCCCTGGGCTCGGGCATGTCCAGTGATGCTGACATGTGCCAGGCACCGCGGCCCCCGGTGTGCAGAGTCCATTCAGGCAGGAGAGAGCACACCCAGCCCCGGGACCACTCTGCCCCTGCCTCCATGCCAAGCCGCCTCGTTCCCCATCTCACTGTGACACCCTGCCCGGCGTGGCCTGGCTCGGGCTCCCATGGGCCACGCATGTGCAGGGCCGTGGGCCCGGCTGGACTGGACAGTGGCATGTTCTGTGCGTCTGTGCTGTGCTTTGTTCATACGACGTGGAACTGTGAAGGGCACCGCCAGCGGGTCGGAGCAGCTGAGCCGGGGCGGTGCCCCCGCGCAGCGCCCCCTCCCCTCCCCTTCCCCACGGCTGTGAAAGCCAGGTGAGGCACCAGGCTGCACAGGTCACAGATGTGTTTGCACATGAGTGAGTTGTTGTCTGTGTTTTTTACATAAAGTCTGTGTTTCTCCTTTGTACGGAGCGGCTGCCGTGTCCCTGCGGCGCGTGGTGCAGGGGTCCTGCCGAGAGCTGCAGCCGCCCAGGGCATCGAGGCTTGGCAGGGGGGCGGGGAGCTCTGTGATGGCCTCACTGACACCTGTCCTCCCTGGCAGCCCCGATCCCAGGCACTGCAAGTCCCTGCACAGCGGGATACTGCTGCTGCCATCCCATGCCAAGGGCCACATTCGCTTCCTGCCCCAGAACCAGTGCGCGGAGCTGCCCGGGGCCCTGGAAGGCTGGTTGCAGATCGTATGGGCCCCGTCTCAGGCCGAGCCTGGGCACCTTCCCTGCGCCACCCCCGGCCTCAGCTGCGGGGCTTCTGCAGAGTCACGAAGCCAAGCCCCACTGCGCCGTGCTCGGGTGGCAGGGGCAGAGGCCGTGCCAGGTACTCGGGGGGGGGGGGGACTACAGCTGGGCTTATTGCTCTTCCTCCTGGCCTCAGAGACCGGGCAGGGGGCTCTCCCCGAGCTACTTGCTAAAGGCTGGGGAGGCGCCATCTGCCATGTGCAGAGCAATAGGCCCAGTGCTGCAGGGCTTGGTGGCGTGTGTGTGGATTTGTGCCCGGATGGGGGGTCGGTGCAGACCCCGGGCAGGTCTGACCAGCCAGTGCCGTCCCCAGTGACATGATGACAGCACCTCTGCAGCAGCCACCAGCACTGCCCACAGCTGCTGCACCCAGGTCATGCTGGTGCAACACGGCCGGCACCCTGCCCAGGCCTCCCTTTGCACTGGCCATGACCATGTACCACCGACTAGCCGTGGCCGTGGGGCAGATCCAGCTTGCATACTCCATGGCCAGCCGGGTGCCCCCTTCTCCACCCTTGCAACCAGGAGAGCCGTGGCCACAGCTGGTGCTGGGGAGGGCCGCGGGGATGCTCTCTGGAGGAGGAGAAGAGACTCCTTTCTCAGGGCCTCGGCGAGGAGGCGCAAGGGGAGCTGTCATGGGATGTGTTAGGTGGGGGTCAGGAACCAGCATGGGCCACAGCAGAGCGGCTCAGGAGCCAGTCCCTGCGGGATGCCGGGGCAGCGATGCACGGAGCCGGAGCAGCTGTGGCTGGGGCGAGGGCAGGCAGCCCGTGGAGCTTCTTCCCTGGCTGGCTTCTGTGTGCGTGAGCCCTTCGCTGGGCCGGGATCACATAGCAGCTGTGAGGGCAGGCGCTGAGCCCCCAGCTGCACCGTGCCTTGTGCTGCGGGGGGTGTCCTGCAGCAGCATCGGCGCCGCTGGCCCAGCCCGGTTCCTGCTCCAGAAAGGATCTGCCCCTCTCCCCAGCCCGCAGCGGTTGCTCTCCTGCAGGTAAGTGGCGCTGCTTAGGGTTCGGACACGGCCCTCTGCTCAGCAGCGCGAGCCCGGGAAGGCGGGGTGGCACCCCTGGTGATGTGGGACAGGAGGGGGCTCCCGGCGGGGAGGGAGCAGCCAGGGGTGCTGCCGATGGGGGTTGTCGAGTCCCAGAGCCGTGGGGCTGGGAGGACCTGCAGAGGCCACATCTAGTCCAAGCCCTGCCTGGGGCAGGATCAGCCCAGACAAACCATCAGTGTAAGGCTACCCTGGTCTGGGTCTGAGCCTGAGTGCAGGGGCACAACCCTCTAGCTGGGACCCTGCGGGGTTGGTGCCAGCAGCAGCATTGGCACAGCCCAGTCTGGGGATCCCCAGCACCTCTTGGGATGCTAAAAATACCCTGACGCATGTAGCAGGAAAAAAAATGATGGTGGGGAGGGGAAGAGGAAGGGTGGGAGCAACCAGCACAGCCAGGAGCCTGGGAAATTCCCTTGGCAGAGCACAGGCATCCTGCACCTCCATGGTCCCTGACCAGAGGCCGTGCACCCTCTCCGTGAGCCCCTCCAGGGTTGGAGAGTCCACATCGTCCCTGTTGCAGTGAAGAAGAGGAGGACAGCAGAGTGCCAGGGCACAACCCTGGCCACTCGGGCTGGAGGAGAAGCCTCGCCCTGGGCTCTTGGGCCTCCAGGAAATAGAAATCAACAGCAGGCGCCGAGAGGCAGAGACCAGGCAGGCAGGAGCCAGCACGAAGCCGGACCAGCCCCGAACAAGGGACCCCCCTGCCCTCCCACCCAGACCCGAGTGAGTAGCGCTGGGGGGAGATGGCCCCGACACCCCCGGCTGACACCCAGCCCTGCCTGGGCTTCCCAGGGTCTGTGCATGGAGCAGCCATGCTGCCGGCCCTGCGGGCAGGGATTTCCTCCCATGTGGGATGGAGGTGGAAGGTCTCTGGCACCAGCTGCCGCCTGCCCGAGCCCCCGGGCCAGGCCCCCTCTGCCCCGGCTCTGGCGGCCCTGGCTGTTTGTCTGCTAGTTCCTGTGTTTCTCTTCCTGTTTCTCAGTCCTGAGGCTCAGAGCAGCTTTAGCACGAGCAAGCCGCCACCACCATCCTTCCCCGCCAGCAAGGCCCAGACGCCCACGCTCCAGCTTGCCCCCCGGCGCTACCCCCTGCCCCCCACAGGCACCCCTCGGCAATGCCAGCTGCAGTCCCTGTGCCCGGAGAGAGGAACCCCATTCCCCGCCCAACTGCCCTCCCTGAGGTTCCCTCCAAGCCTGCACCCCTCTCCCACGTGGGGGCTGCAGCTGTCACCCCCAAAGCCCACCTTGCCCCTTCCTTCCCCCCTGGTCCATGCTGGCACTGGGTTGCAGGGAGCCAGGACGCGTGGAACTGCTTCTCACACCCCACTTCCCGCTGCCCCGGGGTTGCTCCCAGCCACGTCCTCCCCATGGGGATGGGACCTCCAGCCCCGGGGCCCCCCATGCGCCCTACCAGCTCAGTGCAGAGCCGCTCTCAGCCCTCGCTGAGCCTGCCCCTGTGTTTCAGGACCCTCAGGCACTCGGCAGGATGAGCGAGCTCCGTGCTGCCGTGGAGAGCGTGGGCTTGCCTGTGGACACCTGGCTGCCCGTGCTGGCACAAGAGTGCGGGATCACCAACATCGGGGCCCTGCAGCACAGCGGCCGGCGCGATTACGAGAAGGCGGCGCGGCACAGCGAGCAGGCCTGGGAGACGGTTGCGCTGCAGAAGCTCTTCCGCTTGGAGCCGGAGCAGGAGGAGCTGCGCAAGGCGCTGCAGGCACGAGGGCTGCAGGCTGGCAAGTGGCTGCCCATCCTGGAGGCAAAGCTGGGCGTGAGGTCGGCTGCTGCCCTGAAGCACTTTGGGGCAGAGGAGTACCAAGTGCTCGCCCGTGGCCAGCTCCCGGCATGGGAGAAGCAGGCGCTGCAGGCGCTGTGCCAGGGGGCAGGCGGCATACCCAGCCTGCCGCAGGAGCAGCTGTGCACGGAGCGGCACAGCCTCGCCCAGAGCAAGCAGGACTCGGCGAAGATGCAGGGCCAGGCACAGGTGGAGGTCAGTGCCGGCCCTGAGCAGGGCAGCGGGGTGTGGGAGCGCCCGGCCTGGGCAACCCCCCAGCTCCTGGAGAGCGTGTCTGGGGGGCTGGTGCTGCAGGGGCTGCTCCTGAGCCAGGGCGGGGAGAACCTGCTGCGAGAGACCGAGAGGCTCCTGCAGCCCCCCGAGGGCTGCGCCTTGCGGGGGCCTCTGCTGCCAGAGAGCGAGGAGGTGGAGACCTTCTACTCGGCTGCCCAGGAAAGCCTCTCCAAAGCCCTCATCAGGAAACTGGGGGTCACCGCAGGCACCGGAGCCTTTGGGGGGCTCAAGGGGCTGTCGTTCGGGGTGGACATCCACGGGACCTGGTCCAAGCACAACACGCGGGAGACCGAGAGCGCTGGCAGCACCACGTACTGCTGCCTGCGCAGGCAGCACGTGGTGCCCACGGCCTGCTGCGAGCTGAGCCCCGATGAGCTCCAGCTCTCCCCGAAGGCCCTGGCTGCCCTGAGGGAGCTGGATGCCGACCTGCAGGCCCAGGCTCTGCCGCTCGCCCGCGCCGCGCGCTGCCGGGACTTCCTGGAGCGCTTCGGCTCCCACGTGGCCACAGGCCTCGTGCACTTTGGGGGCATCTATTGGGAGAAGGCGGAGGCCAGCGACTTTGCCAGGAGCACAGAGGACCTGGTGAAGAACGAGCTGCTAGCTGCGCTGGGTGCAAGTGCGGGCGCGAGCTTCTCCAGCCTTGGCGGTGCTGCTGCATCTCTGGATGTCTCCCGGGAGAGGGGCCACGCCGCCGACAAGCAGCACGAGGCGCGGTGCAGCCAGACCCTGACTTCCGTGTCCAAGGTGGGGGGCTCCGCGGAGGCTGCCAGCATCCAGGCCTGGAAGGCCGGGCTGCTTGCCCGCCGCAGCACCTGGCGTGTGATCGACCGCGGGTCCTGCGCTCACCTGGTGCCCGTGTGGCAGCTGGTTCTGAAGAACCACAGCCGGGACGTCAGAGACGCCGAGACCCTGGCCTGGGCTTTGAAGGAGTGCTGGGAGGAGGCCTACGACATGAAGCAGACGCCTTGGCTGCCCGGCGTGGCCCCCATGCTCATCACGGAGCTCCGGGAGCTGGTGAGCAGCATTGCGGGGGACCTGGCGCCGGGCAGCCCAGCCAGCACCTGCCTCAGCCTCGTGGTCCGGTGCCTGGGCGTGCGGCAGCAGCTCCGCCAGCACGTCTGGCTGGACACGGACACCCTGTGGTACCGCCACTTCCTGTGCAATGCCCCTGCCCAGGCCCTGCTTGCACAGGCCTCGCAGCGCGCCTGGGAGGAGCTCGCCGCACCAGGCGACGCCTTGTACCTGCTCACCTTCCTCAGGGACCTGCTGTCCCCCACCTTCCGCATCCACCCGGACGACTTCCCCGGCATCTGCCAGGTGCAGCACAACCTGGATCAGGCGGCGGCAGCCCTGCGAGGTCAGGAGGAGCGCGACCCTTTGGTGGAGGAGTTCTGCGTGTACGCCCTGAAGCCGGCAGTGGAGGCTGCGGTGCGAGAATGGCTGGCTAAGCAAGTGAGCCGGATCATGGAGAAGGGGGCCCGTGCCCATCGCATGCTGTCCTCTGGGCCCCAGGGCCGAGCACAAGCCTTGCCCAGCCCGGAGGGACCTGAGGAAAGCTCTCCCCAGCCGGGACTGGGGGCCTCTGCGGAGTCCGGCCGGCTGGCGGAGGTGCAGCAGATGGTCCCTGTCGGCCTGGTCATGAACTTCCTCCCCAGCCTGTTCTACCACATTAAAAAAGCCACCCGCAGCATTGCCCTGCGCTGCGCCGGCGGCCAAATCTCCCAAGCTATGGAGGAGCTCCGGCTGGCACTGGCGGGCAAGATCCAGCTCCCCAAGGGCCCCGTTCTGGGAGTGTCCAGAGACCCCGGGGCCTTCCTCAGGGATGTGTTCCAGTGCCTGCCAGAGCTGGAGGCAAAGCTGAGCAAGAACTGCCAGCAGCTTGGTGCCCGTGCGGAAGGCATGAGGCAGCTCCCCTGGAGCGAGCCGGAGGCAGAGCGGCCACGGATCTGCAGCCCAGAGCAGCCAAGAATCGTCTTTCACAGAGCCAGAACTCCGTGTCCTATAGAGTTTCTCCAAGATGTGTTCAAACAGTTCAAGGTGTTCACCCGGCTAATCCTCGGGGATCCAATAGTTATAGCTCTTGACCAGCAACCTGTGCTGAGAGTTCAGGCTAGAGCCCCAGCGCCTCGCCAACGTGACTTGCCCACAGCATCCTTGTCCTCCGCACCCACCAGCGAGGACTTGGAGGCTGCACTCAGACAGTAACACAGGTTGTGCTGCCTTGCTGGAGAGCCAGGTTCTGCCCCGAGCCATCCCGGTGTGTGTGGCACTGGTGGGGAGCGAGGCTGGTAAGAAGCTGAGCCCATGGGGCTGGCGTGTGCCCGGCATGCCCACTAGCGATGCAGAGCCCCAGCCGAGTGGGCAGCACTGGCTGGAGGACATGCAGGCTGTGGCTTATTAATATTACCCAGATGACAGGGACCCAGCGGGTTGGCTCCAGATAAAGGAGGCAGACGCAGGTCTAGGGCCCAACCTTTAATTTGCTTGCACTTCAAAATGCAAAAACTGATGTTTATCCCAAAAATCTCGCTGGCTGCCCATGACAGCACAGCACAGCTTGGCGTCTCACCTGCCCCGGCTGCAGGGACTCTAGGCGGGAGGAGGGTGGCACGCAGCCTGGCAGCAGGTCTTGAACTGCACGAGTTCTCCAAGTTCCCTCCAAGAGTCTGGGAGGGAGGAGACCTGCCGGTGGTCGTGCCGCACACCTGAACGACCCAGCTCTGCTCAGTCGATAGAATTCAGAACTGATTTAGACTAAATTAAAAAAAAAATCCAGCCTATACCCCATATTTGTAGGTGGCAGAAACTAATGCTCTGATAAATTATCTGATTTCTTTGTTTCACTGAAGCTTTGGGCCTGGACTGAGCCAGGTCTCCGGGGGACCTTAGTTTATGGGCTTCTCTGACAAATCTGTTTTGTTTTTACAGATGATCTAAGCTTCTTAACAAAAATATCTCTAGTCTACCAAAATACCACCTAGTCCATTTGGTTACATCCATCTTGACTACTGATTTAAAATAAAGCCATGATATAGCACATTTGGATTATTTAGGGTGTTTACTTCCCTTCTAGTCTCCTTTCAGCCCTTGTGCTTTGTGTAACGGTATCTCGTTACTGGCTCAGTTCGATGGGTCATGCTGTGCTCACTCAGGAACAGGCGGTGGGGCCTTCTGCTCAGCCACACTGCTGCAGTTTGGCCTCAGCCCCTTGCAAATGGCCAAGGCTGGCAAAAAGCAGCCTAATTACAGGGGAAACGAGCACCAGCCCAGGCTCTCAGCTTCATTACTGAGAGCTCAGGCCATGGCAGCCCTGATCTGCTGCGCTGGGGGCTGTACGTACAGCAGGGCCAGCCCTGCCTCGCTGCCTCTCTCTGTAGAAAGGCTGCTAATTCCAAGCTGCCCTCTCCCCTCCCCATCCATTGGGGTGATCACCCTGCTCTCGGGCAGAGCCGCGGTCATGCACGTTTTCCTTTCCTGCTGTTTCTTTACAGGCAATGCCCACCAGCCCTTCAGTGCAGCGAGGCCAGGCCCCTGCCCCTGCAGCAGGTGTGGGGCGCGACCCTCTGCCACTGCCGCCTCCAGAGACATCCCTGTTACTTTGCACCAGCCCCTCTCCAGCAAGCATAAGGCTGGCTGCCACCTCTGCCCAGCATGAGAGCTGCCCAGGTTTCAGTCCTGGACCGACAAGGCAGCTGGTAGCACTGGGGGTGGGAGCTGCTCCTCAGTGCCATGCACGTGGAGCAGGGGCATGTGTGGAACCGTGCTCTGCTCTCTGCTCAGCAGGGGCTTCAGCCCCATGCACAACTCAGCTGCAGGTTCCTTTGGCAGCCTCAAGTAGGAGTGACCTCCTTCAGCAGCTGCCCCAGAGAGCTGCCCCCTCCACTGCCCCGCAATGCAAGGAAGGAGGCAGCCGGTGGGCACAGCAGCAGACGCAGCCCAGGGGTTGCTTGTTCCGGGGCAGAGGTAGTTGTTGACCATAAACCCTCCCCTGCAGGGTCCAATTAAGCCCATGGGCCACAGCAACAGACACGAGTGAGATTCCAGCTCTTTATTGATGCTGTTTGCAATGATGCATGGGGAAGGGGTGGGGGGAGCGCCAGGCCCACCACGGGCAGGGCCTGAATCCAGTGCCAGATGCTTCAAAATACATTAGAAAGGAGGTGAGAAGTCTCAGCACCCTGAGTGTTCACCGGCACAGTGCAGGCCAGCGGGGATGGGTTCTGCCTTGCAGCCACAGCCTTCCCTTGGCCAGTAGCAAGGGAACGGTGGAGAGACCGCGGCACCAGGCTGCTCTTGGCTTGTGCTCTGTGGAGAGGTAGGTGCAGCATGCGGGGGCAGGGGCCAGGGCAGGCCAGAAGGGGCACAGAGAGCCCCTTCTACTGATATGCCATCCCCTCGGCAAACCTCTGCCTGGAACTGGACTCTGGCTACTGTGCCCGGGGAGCTGACCTGAGTGACCTCCGGCACGGGATGTGACATTGTTGAGCCAGGACGTTTAAAGTGCTGGGTACATTATTGCTTAGAGAAATGAGGCAGGTTTGCTACAGCCTGGGCTGTGGCCTCAGACCACCCCAAGGAGGCAGCGAGGAGGGACAGTGCCAGCAGGAGCCCTGCCAGAGCTGTAGCTCCCAGGCTGCTCATGGAAGGCACAAATTGGTGCTTGGGATTCACACGGAGCAGGAGGTGACAGTCTCCCAGCAAGAGATCTCTGCTCCAGTGTAGGGTGTCAGTGTTGTGCCCAGCTAAGGGCTACACCTCAATCAGCACGAGAGGCAGGGAGTACACGTGGCCCTGGAGACTGCACGTCCCAGCCTGCTGTGCTCTATCCTGGGCCCGGTAGCCCCTGCTTGGATCTCCAGGCCTGAGGCTGTGTGAGAACAAGGGCAGCTTGAGCTGGGCTGCAGCAGAGAAAGAAGCCTGCGTCCCTCCCCCGTGCAGCAGGAGGAGCGCAGGAGGCACAGCCCGCGGGGCTGGTGTAAGGCACTAGGACAGGCGCCGGCATTGCCCAGGCATTGGCTTTGGTCACGAGAAGAGGAAGGGGCCAGCTGCTGTGCAGGGCCAGCGCCGAGCTCTGCAGCAGGCTGGGGTGGGGCAGGGGGGAGATGGGCTGCAGGAGCCATCACAGCACAATCTTGAAGGAGCTGAAAGAGAAGGACCGACCGTGCTGGGCCAAGGGGAGCAGCCAGCTCATGTCTAGCACCAGCACTGGCTCCCGCAGCGCAGCCCCGGCCTCCCAGGACGTGTCTGCTTGCAGCAGATCAAATCCCTACATCCCTGCTGCCCACAGCTAGACAAGCTGCTCTCCCCGCACCCACAGCAGTGGAGCTTGGCAGCCAGGAAAGAGCAGGTGGGAGGCTTTACAAGGGGAGGGAAGGGTGGGCTTGGTCTCTGCCTGGGGACAGGAGAGCCAGGTCCCCCACTGCCCTCTGCACAGCAGGGTGGGGGCATCAGGCTCTTGTTCAGAGCTGTGAGACACTAGCCAGAGACCTGGGGTCATGCCCAGCTCAGCAGCAGACTTCTGTGACCCCAGCCATTGCAGGCTCTGGGCCTTAGTGATAACGGGGCTACTGCCCCTTCCTCCTCTGCTCTGCCTGGTCAGGGCAGACAAGGGGCTCTTGGGCAGGGCAGTGAGGGCAGCCGTACCTAGCGAAGTCAGGCGAGCGGGAAATGACGTGCTGGAACTCCGAGAGGTTGATGGTCCCATCCTTGTCGATGTCGGACTCCTCCAGGATCTGAAAGAAAAAGAGATGTCAGCCACGAGCACCGGCAGGGCAGCCCACCCAGCCGGGGCCTGCATGCTCACGTTCTGGATGAGCTGGTCCATCTCCGAGGTGCTCAGCCGGGTCCCGTCTGCATCCCCTGTCAGGCAATTCACCAGGTTCTCCAGGTCCTTCCTGTCCAGCGTCCCGTCATCATCAAAATCTTTGTGGGGGGCGGGGAGGGGAGAAAGGGGAGAACCAGCCATGATCCCATTTCCCTGGCAATGGCCCTGTAGCTTGGAGATGGATCAGGTTGGAGGCTCAGGGGCTCCACCCTTTGCTGGCCCTGGGCTTGCGTGGGGCTGGGCTGCAAGGCCTAGCTTGCACAGAGCAAAAGTTCCTCCTGGGCCCCTCCTTGTGCAAGCTGGATCTGGAGCAGAGCTCATCTCTGTGCCGGCCCCGTGAGCTGCATATCCCCCCTGGCCCCAGGTCTTTACCGAAGATGCGGAAGGCGTAGTGGGACTTGATCTCCGAGGTGGCGGCATCACTGAAGACGCTCAGCATGTCCAGGAAGTCCTCAAAGGACAGGCTGTCGTCCCCAACATCCGCCGTGGAGAAGACTCGGCAGATCCGGTGCTGGAACGGGTTTGCCTGGAGGCACAGAGAGGATCACTGAGAGGGCAGGAGCTCCCTGGCACAGGGCAGGGGCAGTTCTGTGCTTTCAGCTGCACATGCCTTGCTGGAAACAGGCTATATGCCTCAGCAGAGTAGAGGATCACCCAAGCTCAGTCAGAGCCTGCACCACAGCCCTTGGAACTTGCTATGACCTGGTAATGTGCCTGGCTACGGTCCCGATGCACCCCAATCCCCCTGGAAGCTCTGACATCCTTACAGCTCAGCAGGGAAGAGGAAGCTGGCTTCCAGGTGGTGACCGGACAGTGCGGCAGGGGATGACCGGCTCCCCCCTTGCATCTGTTACCAGGCTGACCTCCAGGATGGTGAACAGGAGCTGCCCCGAGGGGCTGGGCCTGCGTCTGGGGCCAGACCCAAGCACAGTGGACTGGCCCAGCTGCCTCACAGGCTGAGGGGAGGGGCAGGCAAAGGAGTGGGGGCACGTGCCCTACCCTCAGCTCAGGCAGCGTGACGACCTTGTCCTTGGGGACCCGCGCCGACAGGATTTGATCCCTCTCCTCCTTGGGCACCAGCTCGCTGAATCTCTTGTGGGCGCTTCGAGAGACAAGAATGAGCGCTGCTCTAGGGCAGCCTGCAGTGCAGGGCCAGGCTCAGCCACAGCGGGGGCCCGCCCAGGGCAGCTGCACCCCGGGTAGGTGCACAGACACAGACCCACGTGCCAGACACTCTGGGACCGTTTCGCTGCACACAGCTCTGTGCGGAGCTCCCCAGCGATGGGGCTGGGGCTGGGGCTGCGCCAGCTATCCCAGCACAGCAAAGCAGCATGAGCCCACGCCCTGCACGGAGCCCGAGGACCTTTGCGCCGGTGCCCACAGCCCCAGGGCGGGGGGGCCCAGCCGCTCCCTGCGTCCTGCTTCCTGCATCGCCTGCGAAGCAACGCTGGCACTACTGAAAGCAACAGTCACCGTGAGCTGCTGCCAGCTCTGCCCTGGGGCAAGGCGTGCCAGCCCCGGGACTCGGGCGCAGGAGCAGGGCGAGGCGGACGGGGCTGCCACCCCCGCGCCGCTCGCCCCTTTGCTCCAGCCGCTCTGGGAAGGTGGCACGGGGCCGCCTGGCCCCGACCCGGCGTCCCGGGTTTCTGGAGCCGGGTTTGCGCAGCAGCCCAAAGGCACCTCGCCCCAGCCGGCGAAGAAGCGGGCTGTGGCAGCGCGTGCGGACGCGTCCCCTGCCCTCCCCCTCCCTACTCACATCAGGATCTCCTGCTTGGTCAGGAACGTCAGCTCCTGCGGGCAGAGGAGGCAGCGTTACCCGCCGCGCCCGGCCCCGGCCCCGGCCCCG